TTTTTATTATTTTGTATTATTTTTGACCAATATACGATCTCACAGGCTAAACCTATTAAGAACTCAAATTTAACAAGATAGAACGATATAATCGAGTTCCCCGACTATCACATACCCGTTACTCAGCTAGTGGAAGTGCGAACGAGAAATTTCATAATTTTCTGGAATATCGGTAAAAATTGCGAATAAAATTTGTGAATAAAAATTTTTAAAAGTGTGAGCGTGGCAGTTTAGGGCAGTTTGTGCGCGGTAGAGTGGGTGTGGAAATATTCGGAAACAGTTGAGCTGCGTCTATGTCTGTGAAAGCTGCATGCTTAATCTCAACATTCTAGCTTTTGTAGTTCCTGAGATCGAGGAGTTCATACGCACAGACGGACATGGCCAGTTAGACTCGGCTATTGATCCTGAAATAAAATCAATATAAGTGTGAAAGTAATGGTGTAAAATAATTTATTCTGTTAGGGGCAGCTGTATCGAAATTATTCATATAGACTGCATGGTTGGTGTGGATATGCATGTGGACTGGACCACCCAAAGGCCACCAAAATGGCCCAAAATGAGTTGCAAAATATATGTACATATATACTATACATATATGTGTATTCTTAGGTATTCTTTTGTTTTTTTTTCAATCATCGCTAACATCGATGTTTACTTAAGTTACATCGATATTTTCAAAGAAGTGAAAAATGTAAGTATATACAGTGGCTCGCAGCTTATTTCGTGCAGTTGAAAAATAAAAGTTTAAAACGCACTGCCGTCCTACTTTTGGAGGTTTCAAAAAAATTTAAATGGGCTATTTTAACACTGAATTCTTTAATTTCAAATACAAAAAATTAATTTTCTAAATTGGCTCAAGAAAACAGAATTAAAAAAAAAACAAATAATGAGCTCGTTTTAATGCCGCAGCTTATTTCGTGCAGTATGCTTATATTCAATGATTTTTTTTTTGTTTTTACATTAAACATAACATTAAATTTTAATACATATACAGTGGTGGACACTAATTTAGCACACTACGCGTGATCGATTTTCTTTTCTTATTATCTCAGTTGTTAAAATGATTAAATCAGTAATATTTTATTGTGCGGGTAGGTTACTAAGTAGAGAATAAGTACCGTTATTTTCACCACTCTAGCTTTTGTATTCTTTCTTTGCCATTCGATTTTATCCAGACACCCCCAAAATTGGCTGGACACGAATTTAGCACACTTGAGCACTTTGATCGTTATACTTACAGTTGTTGGAAGCAAGCGAATTTTTTCGATCTTAAATTAATTAATTGTGCTTTATTACTTCGGTATATACAAAAAACTTCGGTTTAAAATGTGTAAATGTCGCTGGTGTACTGAAGCACAGCGAGATTTCATCCAAATCCTGAAATTGGCGGGAAAATCTATTTCATATGTTTCAAAGGATCTTGGCTGCTCTCGAAAAATGGTTTATAACGCTTTGAAACATGTTGAAAACAATGGTAATGCAAAAAGGCAAAAACAAATACGCCAACCCCGTAAAACCACAGCCTGTCCAGGACAGCCTCATTCAAAAAGCGTCCAGAGTTGATGCCTTCATAAGTTCAAGGGCGATTAGAAATGAAATTTCATTAACCCAAGGAGTAAATGTGTCTTCCAGGACGATAAGGAGACGTCTTAATGAAAAAAATCTACGTGGATGTATAGCACAAAAAAAAATATAAAGGCAAGAACTAAATTCGCCAAGGAGCATATGATCAAGTCTCTGATTTTTTGAAAAAATGTGCTTTGGAGCGATGAATCCAAGTTTTGTCAACTTGGATCAGACGGAAAAAAGTATGTTTGGCGTCCTCCGAACATGCAACACCATCCACGACACACCATAAAAGACGGTCAAGCATGGTGGAGGAAGTGTAATGTTGTTGGCAGCATTTTCTTGGCATGGTGTGGGTGAAGTACACAAGATGGATCAACGGATGGAACAACAAGTCTATACAAAAATAATCTCTGATGTTATGATCCTCTATGCGGATGATAATTTACCGTTACAGTGGCGTTTTATTCACGATAACGATCCCAAGCATACTTCACGACTAGTTAAGAGTTGCCTTCAGGATAGCATTATTGACGTTATGAAGGGGCCAGCTCAGTCCCTCTCAGAATTTTCGGGTGGATGTTCAGAAGCAGATTGGACTTGTAACACCCAGCAATTTAAATGAACTAAAGAGCACAATAAAAAATGCTTGGTCTGCCATACCGCAGAAGGGATGCGCAGCTTTGGTGGAGAGTTTGCCACATAGACTTCTTTAAGTATATAAGCATAAAGGATATCCAACATAATATTAAAAGTAAAAAAAAAAAAAAAATTTTTACTGTATAAAAATACACTGTTTTGTCAAGTGTGCTAAATTCGTGTCAAGCCAATTTTGGGGGTGTCTGGATAAAATCGAATGGCAAAGAAAGAATACAAAAGCTAGAGAGGTGAAAATAACGGTACTTATTCTCTACCTAGTAACCTACCCGCACAATAAAATATTACTGATCTAATCATTTTAACAACTGAGAAAATATGAAAAGAAAATCGACCATGCATAGTGTGCTAAATTGGTGTCCACCACTGTATATTCTATGGGATTCTACGATTGATCGCCAGGCCACCTGGCACATCCATTGAGCAGCGGTAACGTGTCCTTAAACCCATTTAAAGTGTAAAAAGTCAGCGGGGTATTGGGGAAATGGTGTCCGTAAGCCCAATCAACGTGCACTATATTATTCAAGGAATCGGTTGGGACAACCATATCCAAGATAGAAGCCAAAAAGGACCTTAATCTCACTAAAAAAAACTAATGAAAACATCAAGCAATCGGTACCAAAATTATCAGCAGATCAAGGACGAAATGGGCAAGAAGATAGTCATGATACAGTGTGCCTTGTATTACATGATCATTATGGTATTTTTATACCATTATTTTTATGGTCGAGTATTACGAAAGAAGCCTTTCATAAGCCAAAAAAATAGAGCTGCTAAGATAAAATTCTCAAAGGAGCACATAATCGTTACGATTTCGTTTTAGATCGGTGTTATTTTTGCTACGAACCTTTATTAAACATTTTGTATTAAAAGTGGACTGCCGTCCACATCGACAATAAAAATATGTAAGGGTTTTTTTTATCAACTTATATCGATAGGCAACACAACATTTTGGGCACGCGCAATTTAACGTCCACAAGTTACAATTACAATAAATAAAAACGGCACTAGGTTGCCCTAGGTCTTCTTTCTTGTTTGCATAAACCCATTTCCTTAGAAATCCTACAAGGTGCATTAATCAATCTTTACTTGTTTTTTTTTTTATTTGAGGTTGTATGGTTATGTGGATTGACCCGTGCCATATTTTTTTCATCCATAATTTTGTAATATAATTTTAATACATTTTTGTATATATCAAACTGAATATGTCCGATATTCTTCAAAAATGAGAATGACCATTAAAAACTATTGCAGTACCTCTGGCATGAACTTTAAACGTTTTTTGTTTCACGGAAAGTGACCGCAAAAAAAAAAACAAATACGACATGTTCTAGTTGGTTAAATTTTGCCATGGCGTTGTTGGTAATTACTTTTCATGTATAATTTGCAGTTAAATTTTAATAAATAAATCACTTTGTTCAGTGTTACCAGAGTTTGCATAAAAGGTCAGGAAGATATGGTGAAACCCATAAGCAGAGGCTATCTTGTGTTCACGTTTTTAAATACTCTTAAAAACACATATAGTAGTAGTATATTATACTGTTTTCATTGAAATCTAATTATATTTTCCACTAGCCACCAGGTTTTCCACTAGGAGATAGCACGATAGAGGATACAGTTATTTAATCAATTTTACAATATATATTTATAATTTTAATTACAACACCTCATGAAATTGTGTTCAATATAATCGTGATTAACAACAAAAACAAAAAAAGGTTCTATAAATATTTTTATACATTCTTTTGCCAACCAAATTCTTATACTTGACAAGTTTTATACTTCTAAAAGGGTGTACTAGATCCTATACATGTCTAGAGACATAGACGCAGCGCAAGTTTGTTTCCAAATGGTGCCACGCATAATTATCGCACAGAAACTGCCAAGCCCACTCTCGCGAGATTTTTTTTTTTTTATTTATTGTCCCAATTGTATATCTGAAGAAACGTGCTACGCACCAACAAATATTTCGTTTACAAATATGGGCCAATAGAAGATTTGTTCTACCACGGATTATTAGAATTTTAAGTAATAGTACTTATTTCACGGTTTGTATAATTTTCTAAGTAATTCATCATCAATGTTACCCAGTGTGAACGGGTCGCACAAGCATTTTTGCTACACTGGGTATTCATAGAAGCGAGTGTCCATCTATATCGCAATTACACTAGGAAAATACAACAAAAAAAAATCACACAGGCGATTTCGTAACGCGGTTTTTGACGAGAAGCCCAAATAATTATCTGTTCAGCTGGAGATTGACTATAACAAGTAATTAAAAATCAATCATTTTTTAATTAGTAAATTATAAATAGTGGATATAAAAAATTGAGTACATATTTGAGTACATATTTTAAAATTATTATTTTAGTATTGTCCATAAGAAAATAAAGTGCAACGCTAGACGCAGGATATATAAAATTTTTTTTAGGGGCCGCTCCTATATATCTCGTTAAATTTTCTTGTCCAACGAGATAAAAAATAACACAAATGTAATTTTCCCTTCCGTTATTGACTTTTGGTTATTGTTAACTTTTAATCATTTCTAATTCACCATATCTTACATTTTTCTTATTTAAATCATTTTCGCATATATGTGCATTTAAATGTGGTAATTTTTCACGAACTTAGCTTAAAAAGTTGACTTGGTGACCTAAGTAATTTATAATCTCTTAAATTTTCACACTGGTGTATAACACACTTCTCATTTAATTCTTTTGAATACCCGTCTGGCCAGGCCTTTCAGTTAAAAGAAATTCACGTGAAAATATATCGATACGTACTAAATACTTATCGATTTTCTTCCACCCTTGAAGTACAGCTGTCATTGGTAAAAATGGCGAATTATAATAAAGTCGGGAAGTCAATCACAAATTATTAATTTACTTTATTTTGTGACAAATATACAAATTTTCATATTGAAGGAAGTGCGCTGGGGAAGCACAGACTTAACATTCGAAGTGTGCACCTTATATTTGTAAGCATAACGATTGAGCAAGATACGTCTTATATTGGTGTGTGTTTCACAGACAGCACTCATTCGTAAATTCTAATTTTTGAATTTCTGGTACTTTAAACTTTTCTTTATACCGGTCTAACAACGTGAAGTGAATACACTTTGTTTTTATACTATCTTTGATCCAACTTGACAGTATTTGCTTTTCGCCGTCCCTTGAATTTGGATCAGGGCAATATTTGTATACCGCAAGATATAAATGAACCAAATCCAAATACAGGAACTTACTACTCACCTATCCCAGGCACTCGATCAAAACTACGATGTAAGGAAACTTATTACATGTTCAACAAAACAGTTTATAAAAAGATGTTTTTAGGTCGTCAATATGGATACAGTGGTCTCTGTCATATGTGCATTGGAGGGCACAACTATCACCAAGGAGCAGCTGGAGGCCACCAGATTAGCTAAGTACATCAATCAGCTCAGAAGAAGGACCAAGAATGAGCATTTGGCTCGACGTGCAAAATCCTTGCTGAAAAAGTGGCGGGAAATGGTGGGAATTCAGCAAACCCCCACTGAAAATTTGACACATCCCAGCCAAATTTCTTCTTCACAGCCAGCAGTAGATTTGGCTAAGTCCCCTGTCAACAGCTTCATTAGCGAACCAATTGTTCCTTCGCAGGATATAGTTACAGATATGCATTCTAATATCGATTCTGCGGAGCCTCCGCCTTTGGGTATACAAACCCGGCTTCATCCGAACTTCTCCAACCTTGTAAATAGTATAAGTGATAGCGATCGCCACGAAAACTTGGCTACAACGACATTGCATACTAACAAGGACCGGCGACATTCGCATCCCATCCGAAGTAGCCACGAAGTAGCCTCTCCTCTGCCAATCGCCATAGATCATTCGATAAATTCGGTGTTTAACTTGACCGATGACAGCACCGTGAAGATAAAGGAAGCTTCGGTTGTTATTGACATAGCGTCTGATTCCGATGAGAATGACAATCACAGTTTGTTAAATCAGGAAAAATCAAAATCAATTGTTCCTGCGCCACTTCCAATACCATCTACACCAAGCTCTCGACAACGAAAATTAAAAAAGGAAAAAAAAAGTAAGGACAGAGGACAGTTTGCAACAAATAACAGACTTGGTGCAAGAGTCAGCGACGGGTTCCAACAGGCTGCTCTGACAGCAGATTCAGGTATGACTAATTGTATTTGTGTTTGATTGTATTTAATTATATCCTTGCAGAGGAGTTATTGATTTCAGTCAGTTTGCAACGCAGCTGCATTTACTCATATCCAACGCTTACCAAGACACTTGTCCAAAATTACTAACACATTTTGTGAAAAGCATAGACAGCATGTGGAAATATCTTGCACCAAAAGTTTCTACCCTCAGGAGCTTAGGAATTAGGCGTAGGAAATTTTAGTTATTTAAAGCTGATTTCCGCTGTACTAGCATGTTATTCCAAAAGTAGTAGAACTAAAGCATTTAATAGTGATCTGTTTAACAGGAACAAAATAAATTCAGTACTTAAAAATAAGTTTTTGTTGCAATCAGAAAAATAAACCGAAAAAGGTAAAGTAATATTTTCCCAAAATCTTGTTTTGGGAATATACTTTTAACCTTGTTTTTAAATATGGTGTTAGCCTATGCACATTTTTATGAAGAATTTATATACATTTTTGTTGCGGGTAATGTTACCACAAACCCATATTATTTTAATGTCTTGGTATGCAATCTTACATTGCGTTTTCTTTCGATTGGTGCCTTTCGTCAAAACGTGGACTTCAATCTAAAGTAATATACATATATCAACATATATACATATCAACAACCGAGTTAATCTTAATTGAAAAGAACTGATAGTTGCATTTTTTTTAATCATAGTGTTTTTTTTCGGTATGCAACTCTTACCCATTACTTGTAGATTATAAGGGCATACTAGGCTTCTTGAATAAAATATTTAATGAAGCGTTTCCGACCTTTTAAATGCTGGGTTTTCGGAAACTATAAAAGCTAGAGTGTTGAGATTAAGCATACCTATTCTAGTAATAGTGACACTGTGCAAGTTTGTTTCAGAACTTTGCCACGCCCACTCTAACGACCGAAAACCAACTTAACCTCTATTGTTCCTGAGATTCTAGTGTTCATACGGATAGACACACGATCGAACAGGCGGATATAGCTAGATTGACTCGTTCGGTGATCAAGAATATATACTTTATAGAAATGGAAACGTTTCCTACTGCTTGTTACATCAACATACTTATAACTAAAATATCTTTGTATTTCTATATCCCTGCAGGGATAATGGTTTAACAGTACCTGTTGACTGTTTTTACTTAAGCTCTGCTCACGAGAACAATCTGCTCTATAATTTCAAGTATGCCGTGATACATTTAATTTTAACATTCGGGAATTAAGAATTTAGTAGGTAGTTTGCATCGCAGTAAAGAAGACCATTGCGGACATACAAAGCATGCATATACAGCTGTGTTCATTGGAATGGCAATGCTTAAGAAACTAAGTAATATTAAGATATTTCGGAAACGAATTCATTCATTTCACTTATTTAGTTAAATGGACTGTCTAGATAGCAAAAAAAAAAAAAAAAAGTCCCGCTAGTTTTTCATGTTATCCTTATTATCCTTACATTTTAGCAAATTCGAACTGATAGGCTGTTCATTAAAATATAAGTGTGTGATTTTGTCCAACGGAAAGTCCCGAAAAGATCAATATTTTGTAATAAGTGAGTTTGGTTAAGTTGGTTAATATTTTTAAAGAGACAAAACAAAAAAAAAATACAACAAATTTTATTTTAGTGGGTAAAGGTCAGCACTGCTCCCAGGAAAAATGAAAGTTGCTTCTTAAGCTTAGGAAGAGGGTAAAACAAATACAGTAATTCAAAAAACCCCTCAGTGTTAAAGCCCGAAAATCGTGGTGCCTCACGTAAAACCACACATAGAAAATCGACGCATAGTTCGTTTCAGCAAGGTTAATCCTTTTGCATCCTCTAGGGGCATAAAGTTTGAGTTGAACTTGGAAATCAGCGACGTTCCTATTCGACGACGAATACTGAATGAAAATTTAAGTGCAATGAGCCCACGAAACCCACTTAAACTTGCCAGTCTCAAAATAGCTTAATATTTGCTTCAGTCAAAAATAATTCTATTTGGTGGAACATGGACCTTAAAATGGACATTCCAACAGGATAATGATCCTAAAGCGGCTAAGATTTGGAGTACCCAAAATGAAATAGACGTAATGCCGTGTCCAGCACAACCTCCCGACCGAAAAACCCTATGTGTCGAAGGACTCCCCGACTTCTAAGGCTCAGCTTTGGCAAGTTGTGCATGGGCTCATATTCCCCCCAAACGATGCCAGGACTTGGCTGACTCCATGCAACAAAGTATTAGACCCCAATCAAACTATTAATAAGAAAAATTAAGTTAGTTTCATGTTGAATTTTGTTGCTATTTTCTCCTAACACTGCTGTTTTATTGAACATCAGAATTTATGTCTTTTTGTTGTCTTTATCCATATTTTTGAAAATATTGAAGAAATTAAGGTAAAACATTGGTTGAATTTTTTGAATTTAAATACATAATGATATTTAAAAGAAAATTTGTCCATTAAAAGTGTAAAACATAGGATGTTGTATCTTAAACTCGCAGGTCATAAGCACTGCTATTTCAGTGAACACAGCTGTATATATGTACATATATTCATGATCATGGTTATGTTTGTTTTGTTTTTATATTATTTTTCTTAAGAACAACAAAAAATTTCTATAGTTTTTGGCTCAACCACCAAAACTTTTTAATAAAAATATACATTAATTTTATAAAGCGAAATTTCAAATAACTGGTCATTTTAAATAATTAAGGATATAGTTTTAGATTTATTTAACATGTGGTGTACCCACCATATTTATTAATTTTTTCAAATATACGGTTTGGTAAGGATTTGATAAGGATAATTTCACTTAGCGAAATTGTTGACCTCCTTCGTATAGTCTCCTTGACAAAAGCCTGCCAATGTTTTTGAGACGTCCACTCCAGCAATTCAATACAGCGTTTTCATGTTGAATCGTCAATGGAATATGACACTACATCTCCGAAATCAGGAGGAAATCCTTTTGGACTACAGTCTTGTACGCATTGGAGTTAATTTTTGAGATGAAAAACTGGAGCTCGCATATTCCTTAAAAAAATGACTTCCCACGACTTTACTACATCTGCACAATGTTATGCCGACTTACGAAACATTCTTATTTTCGCTTATCGTGAAAATAGTAACTATAACTATCCGGTTCATCAAGATTGAACTTCTTTTTGTCGGGCAAGCTCACAGTCTTCCACTTGTTCCACGTCATGTGTGCTCGGTATAACCGAGTCGAACTGGACATGTCCGTCCGTATGAACGTCGAGGTCTCAGGAAATATAAAAGCTAGAAAGTTGATATTAAGTTTATTGACCCATCTTGCCAATCCCAATCTAACGCCGACAAGCCATAACTGCCACGCAGACTTTGAATGTTTTGATATTTTTTTTTTATTAATATTGTAAATTTCTATCGATTTTCCTAAAAAACTTTTTGCCCCGCCGAATTTAACGACCAAAAACCGCCCAAAACTGTCACACCCATTCTTTTGAAAAATGTCAGAAATATGGAAAAATACGGATTAAATTGCTTCAAGATGTAAAAGCTATTCAGATGACGAAAAAATCGAGGGCACTTTTAATGAATTCCCCTTTATAAAGGTGAATTTTGCAATGTCGTTGCATTTTTCCCCGTACCTTTTTCTGGTATATAATGAGTAAACAAATAAAGGCTAAAATTAAAAGGAAAGATCCAAACAAAATTCATTTGGAACAATGTGAGATGACAACGTGTAAGAGAGGTTATTAAATAGTTTTTAACGAATCAGAATATGCTTGGCTAGGTGTACTTTGGAATTGGAAATTTTTTAATATTAATATTAAAATGTTATTTATTTTCAGAAATATTTTCCCTTTCAAACAGCTCCATGAGCTCAATTTTATCTGGAGATGCTACATTGAATTATTCGCAGAATAAATTTCGACTAAACTCGAACGAATTGACCTTTACCGGCAGGTTTAAGTCAGTTAATCATTTAGATCTTTCAAACCATAAAAGCACAAACTTTGTGACTGGACAAAACAATGTGTTCCGAAGCACCGAGTCTGAGAAACAGAAAATAGATGAATATAGTGCTTACGACTCAAACGCATCATGTAGTCGTCTATCGCCTTCAACTGTAGACGAAGTTAAGAAAGCTGAAAATTTATTTGATGCTCAGTTAACTAATGCCACCGCGAATCAGATGTCTATCCCTACCGTCAGTATCGGCTATGAGTCGAATACGAGACATGAGTACTTGGAAAGCAATTCGCCGTCCCAGATCCCAAAACGCCGTGGTAGAAAAAAAGGATCAAAAGGAGTTGACTCACTTATTGCAAAGGAATCATCCAGTCTATCTCAACAAATATTTTTTGGTGGCTCAACTGTTAAAAAGGTTAAGACCACAAAAGAACTTTTTAATGAAATTCAGAGCAGAAAATTGAGTGTTTCTATGCAATCATCGACGAGTAATATTTCAAATTCGTCAATAAATCGAGATCTCACATCTCATACTACATTTCCAAGGCCAACTTCCTCTTGCTCAGGTTTGTTTGTAAGTTTGCTAAACTTTCACATTTAAATTTTTCCAAAATCTTTCCAGACACTTCAATGCATTCTCCACATATATTGGAAACGTATTCTGGAAGTGCTATCTTCGCAAGTAAAATAGATGGTGAGATCAAATAACGGTTGAATAATCTAATAAGCGTAACATTTAATGATTATCCTTACGAAAACAGAATACATGTATTCCGTAAAGAGCATGGAGCACGTAGGCGCTCAAAAACATATAACTTTAAAGTTTTAAGGCGTTCCACGAACCATTTCGATATTGACTAAATGGTTACCGAATGAAAAAACGACAGTATTTGATTGGCAAATATTTCATTTAAATTTCTAAAAATTTAAGGATTGGGGATTTATTATTTAAATAATTGTATTAAAATTATTTTTTATAATAAATTGAACTTAGACTTTTATGTCATGTCGAATGTGTCACCGCTCACTCCATGCCCAATATGACTCAATATTGCACCATCGACCGCATTCTGGTTTTTGGAAGCTAAACGAAACAACCTGAAATATATAAGCTATTTGTCCGGAGCATCACTAAAAGGTTATGCCCGGGTTTTGAGGCTGAAGCGATTTACGGAGCACCCTTGATATATTTTGTTTTACTCGCGTATATATGCCCATATATCTGTTGACTAAAATGATTGTTATACCCTTCACTAGTGTATGCTCTTACTCTACGAGCAAGATTTGCTTGTAAAGTGCTTTGGTTGTCTGTCATACGGTTGTCGGAACGTCAGATGTCCTATAAAAGTGGAGAGTGGGGCCTTAAATTGCTGATGCAAGTAACGCCTGTGCAGTGCAAGTTTATTACAAACTATTGCCATGGCCAAGCTTTTGAATACACCAAGAAAATACAAAAATTGTGTTATATAGAAATTCGGAAAAGTTCACTACAAAAGAAACATTTTTTTTAACTAGTCATTTCTCTTTTTACAGATCTGGCACATACCGATAGTGATACCGTCACTTCAGATCCATCACACGATAGTAATAAATCTCAAGCGATAAGGGAATGTACTTCGTTGGATAGCAATAGCAATTCTATTCAGAGCTTACCGTTAGCAAAGAACAGGGAAAACTTGATTCCCAAGAATGTTAACGATATCACGACTCAGCTAATGCATCTAATTCACAGCCTAAACAGCCCGCTCAGTGAAATTGAAATTGAGAGAGTGTACCAAGAACAAATAATACCATGTACTTGCATAGTTATCGAAGAAGTTCAAGGTACATCAGGAGAATCCAATAATGCCACTTCAGATATTCAGTCGTACAACGCAAAAACAAGTTTAAATTCTGAAGACAAAATTTCTGGCCACAATAATCAAGATAATTTTCAAATATCAAACCGTTCTGTTAATGGTGAAGTAAGTGACACTCAGCCGAAATTAGTAAAGTCCATATTTGACCTAGATTTTGATGATAACGACGATCCTTTATATTTTATTTTGGATGATATTCAAAAGCCTATTGCTGGAGCTGAAGAGTTAAAAAAAAATAAATCAGATACCAAAAACATATCTTTTGACGTATCTACACAAAATGTTTCGTTGAATGCCATCAACATTAACGCCGATGTTCAACTAGACAATTCTAATCAAGAAAGAGGAAAAAGTGAAACACAAAATGCCATTCTTCCTGTTTTTACAGTTCATGAAGATCCTGATTGCGTAGCAAGGCAAAGGTTTTATATACAAACCAACAAAGTCACCAGCTTTCACATCAATGCGTTGCATAATTATTATATACCAAACATAAATGGTAATTGGGATAATGTGGAATCATTTACAAGTTTTCAATCTAAGCACACAATGATGGATACCATAGAATCGTACACAGTGACTAATGGAGCTGATGTTGTTCCTAAATATGGACTTCTAACATTAGATCGAATAAGAAAAGATCTAAGTTCACTAAAAAGTATTAAACCTTCTAAGGTGAAAAATTTTAAATCGTTAATTTCACCGTTTCTTGGTGTTGCTAAGTGTTTACCAACGTGCCGTCGAGCTAGACGAAGGTTTAAAAAATGTGTTAACTTTTCCACTGATAATGACATAATTTCAAACTATTTCGAAAGCCCTGAAAATACGAATCTTTCGTTTAAGAACTGCAACCCGTTAAATGTTAATATTGATGGTCCAACTTCTGCTATTTACAGCCATAATGAAAACCACGTGCCAATGCAAGTCAATACCAACGTCGAAAAATTATCACCGTCGCAATCGTTCTCCATTAATGCTATCAGTTGTAATTTACTAAAGCTGGCCGTTGATAAAGTGCGGGATGACGGCATCTGCGATAAAAGCAGTAATCGCGGTTGTCAAGGTAGCAGTCCCTATAGCAGTTCTAGCAGTAGTGGCTGCTCCGGTAGAAAGGAAGATCAACACTATTTAAATAAAAATCTGCAAAATAAAAGCACTCAATTAAACACCATTAAATCAGATATGAAACGCAGAAAAAAAAGAATTTATGCTACGAAAAAGAAGAAACATGATCGTAAGCGAATGAAGATTGCTTTAAACGGAACTTGTTCAAATCTGCCTAGTAATTTTAACAGCAGTGACAGCGAAAATGGAACGGAAAATGATTATAAAAATGAGTACGAGAACAGTAATAATGAAGAATATGCTATTGTTCAACGTCCAGCAGGGGATGGAGAAAATTGCAGCAATCACATTGTATTGACAATAAAAAAAACTCCAAGCAAAATTAATTCTCCAGCAAACTCTATGACTGCATTTTCTCCTCCTACATCCGATACAGCAAATTTGAAAAAATCGATTTTAGACTTGTGTCTGGAAGATACAAATATATCTCCAGGTAAAACAGAAATTACATTAAAAAAAAAAACAAAGGATTTGGCTAAAGTGAACAGGACAATCCCTCAGTCAAGAAGTTCTGCCTATCGGCGTACAGTCCGAAAATCTGACAAAAGTCAAAGTAAAATGATTGATCTAGAATTAAAAAATTTGTTTAATTTAAAAGCAAAGCCACCATATATCTCGTCAGATGTTAAGCTACACAACAAACTATTTTTCCCTCACGAATTGTCCAGGGATAATGCTTCAGGCAAAAAAGAAAGAATATTAAATTATAGCAGTAGCAGCAGCTCAAGTTATGATGATGATAGCGAACTGGAAAATACTTCTTTTGTGAAGAAAGCTAATGTAAAAAAGTGTTTAACTTACACTAACCATAATTTAAATCCTGAGACTGAAACGTGCGCTGCAACTGCGATTTCTGAGGTCAAATTCGAAAGCGATGAAGATTCAATGTTAACTTCATTAGGCGATAGTGATATAGATTTTCAAGATGGCATTCAAGTAATAAATGATACTGTTGATTTTTGCAATGATTTTCAAAACAACAAAATGCTAGAATCTTTTAATTCAATATTTGCTGATAGTCTACTACCGAACTTGAAAAATTCACCCTATGACAATATGAAACCATCTCCGCCTATTACATCGCTCGAATCACTAAAAAATGAGAATTCTGATGCTATTACTGTATATTGTAACAATAACAACTTAGATGTACATTTATCCAATGAGCTCAGTAACATCAGTGGGAAATCTATGAAATCGTTAGATTCAACAATGAAGCTGCCATCACTTGGCGTTGAGTACTGTACTGGGATTCGAACATCTTCAAACTTAGCCTCTACCAGTATTGCTGATAAAAACTTAACTAGGATTCAAGAATTCAAAGAATGGCATCAGGTTCTTCAGTTAAAATCGTACAACAATGAGCCCTTAATCGTTTTGCCTTACGTTTTGCTTGAATAAATTTAACGTTTCTTTCACGCTGTGTGATAACATTTCCCAAACAAAATGAATAACATGTAAAGGCGTGTAGCAAAATAAAATACTTAAAAAAAATATTTTTAACTTAAATTTAATCTCGTGTTGTGTACACTTTGTTGTGTACGTTTTGATCAGATTACAGCAGGGTTGGTTAGTTCTATATCTAACAGGATGAAAATTATAATAAAAAGAGAAAAAAAATAATGGGGGTTCGCAATAAGAATTTTTGTTACTGTCTACTGTTAATATTTTTTTGTTTCACTTTAAGAAATTTCAGTAAATTTAAGTAATGTATAATTGTAAATAAACTAGCCCTATATTTTTTAGTTTCCCAATAAATTGTATTAAAAATAGGTTTTATTCCTGATGATGGTGCGGGGGGTGTGTGTGAATGTGTTTTTATACCCGTTACTCGTAGACTAAAAGGGTATACTAGATTCGTTGAAAAGTATGTAACAGAAGGAAGTATATTTAAAGTATATTCTTGAAGTATCCTAAAGTAGTATCTTGAAGTATTCTAAAGTATTCTTGAACAGGGTCAATAGCCGAGTCGATCTGGCCATGTCCGTCTGTCCGTATGAACGTCTCAATCTCAGGAACTACAAAAGCTAGATATTGAGATTAAGCATGCAGACATAGACGCGGCGCAATTTTGTTTACAAATGTTGCCACGCAAACCGCAAAAAACACTCACGACCACACTTAATTTTACGTTTTTTTATCTTATAGTCTATAGCATTCTATCTTGCTTTAATTCTATCGTATTTAATTTTAATTAATGGCATATATGTGTACAATAGGAAAGATAGTAGGAGCAGCTCCTGCTTCTTTCAGCTGTTCTAAGTTCCTTCATCACTGCCGCGGCAAAGCTATTAGCGCCCATTTTGCTACCAAGCAGCGATTCTTGCCAGCGTACTTTGCGCACGAGAAAAATTTTTTCTGCAGTTTCACAACGTCCATTACCGCCCGGTGAACAACTGCGTCAGCTGGAAATATATTTGGCCATGCTTCCACTCGATCCAGGGTGTGCTGCCTAGCTAGTGCCCGTATTGCCCTCTTGGCGTTGGGGGAGAGACCTCTTCCGTGTGTTTGATTAAAGCCCAAATTTGCTTTTCGCCGCAATTTGGTCTCATGGCAGTTCTGAAAGCCCTGCAAATGCGTTGCGCTGATAGCTAATGAGTAGCGAACAGTTCCTTAGCGTACCTCTCCTTTTCAAGTGCTTTCGCACACGACGGCGCGGCGTACATCATCGTCACCTGTTTGAAGTTTGTCAGCAGTCGTATGCTCACCTGCTTTGGGCCTTTTGTGGTGCGCATAGTGACCGACAGTTAATCTGACCGATCTGTTAAATCCCGCTGCTTTTTTTCTCGCGTAGCCTAAATGGTCTCGGAATGATAGCCTGGTGTCTATGACACCAAAGTACTTTATCAGCCGAGAGGAGACCGAAGTTCTACCGATTCCGACTGTTGCCGTACCGACAATCTTCCTTTATCTTATCAGAACGGCCCATGTCTTTGCTGCTTAAGCCCCATTGTGCAGAGCTAATGGTCTTCATGTTGCGGATTGCTTCTCTACGACCAGCAAGACCACGTCTTCTGCAAAGCACGGAGTACTTGAAAGTTCTTCCATGAAAGTTCTTCCGCATAAGAAATGGCCCTCCCTAGCCGTAAGCATACCAGCTTTTCAGTTGGCCGTTAGAATGAAGTGACTGCGTGAAATTGATCAAACACGTTTGATCACTATTCGTGTTCCTTTCAATGGAGGTTGGACAAACTTTTTTCCGTGGCTCGTGAGCCATGGCGTCTGTTGAGAATAAGCCGAAATTGTTTATTGAAAAGTGCCGTCACCTCATTGCATACTAAAGCATTCAAATTCTGCTCCATCTTGTAAGTACCAGAAAATGTATATAACAGTTAGTTGCTACCAGCACGACGGATCGAATCGTAGCGATAAGTTGGGTGCATGCGCAACATATGTTTCAGCAACATCATGATTGGCAGCAACATGCTGCGAGCTTAGTGTGCTCCGGAAAATCGGTGGCGGTGTGGGGGGAGAGAACTAATTGAGTGACAGTAATTCGCGTCTCTCCTGGCCAAAATGACGGAGTGGTGAAATCGCGGCTTGGAGTCTTCCAGCGAGGGTATGTAAGACGGCACAAAAAGAAATCAAGAAATTTAAGGTGCAGCGTCGTGAAAGTTGCATGGGAAGTTAACGAATGTGAATATCGCGGCAGGCTCTAGGATTGCAACGCAGCGATCATTTTCCTACGTCACTGGCAGCAGCGTTGCAGCAGATGGTAAGTTGGTGTTTATGGGTTTTAGGCTTGGTTAGGCTGATTCCGCCTATTCTTGATAGGCAGAGGGACTTAAAGTGCGAAAGGTGGAAAGAGCCTAAAAAGCCAGGATGCCTCCAATGTCTTCGACGTACATTGGAAAAGAAATCGGCCCCTTTAAGTACCAAAATTGTACGCGGAACATTGTTGCACCAGCCAGCCCTTGCCGGCATCCTGAAATTGGCAAGGTTCGCGCGTGGCCAAGTGCTCAAATACCACCATTAATAAGCTCAATGTTGGCAGCACGGCGGCACCATAGAGTCAAAAGTGGTTAAAAACGTGAACAGACAACATCGTTTATACACAAAGAGAAACATAGAAGCATAAGTAACAAAACAAAAATAATAGAATAAGACAGCAGTAATTTTTTTGGGAATTTCTTTATGTCATAATCTTTATTTTAAATAATTCATAATTATTACATAAATAGCACAAAAGATAATAAGTAATTTCAATGTTATTAAGATACGCAAACAAAAAAAAAGTTGAAAGCAATTCAATTACGTCAAGCGCGGAGACAATGTGAAAGCAAATTTTGTTTTGAGCAGCGAATCGGGTAGAAGTGGACGGAAAACCGTTATATTAGGGGCTTTTAAATTTTATTTCTCGCAGCAGCAGCTCGTTGGAAGCGCTTTTACCGATGGATGCAGCAACTTCAAAGTGAGTAACATCACAAAAAAAGAAAACACAAAAGCATCTAAACATTTAGTTTAGAAACTAAAAGAACTTATCGAAATTATTATGCAAAAGACCCGCTTTACTTAGAGTAGAACTGATCGGGTAGAATGTTTCGCGCAACTAAAGGAAAAAATAAAAAGATCCGCAATAATCTGTATCTAGTTTTGCTCCCTGCTTTCGTTCCGACCGAAGCAGATAAGCAACGCTCAGCTGCAAGTTCTTACCGCGCCTGATAGCGCATCCGAATCGGATCAGTTGTGGCGATTGTATACGATGTAGTAGAGGTTTTTGTTTTCAGAGATTTTTCAAGTAGAAATGCAGTAAGGTGGTTTTCAATTTGCGTATGCAATCTTGGAAACGATGTGAAATACTTAAAGCGCAAAGCAAGCTATTTAATTCTATTTTGTATACGTTTCTTTTCTTCAACTAATGTTTATATTTGTTTAATGAATAAATTATTATATTATAATACATGAATTTTGAGTATATTTTTATACTCGTTAAGTAAAAGGGTATACTATATTCGTTGAAAAGTATGTAACAGGCAGAAGGAAGCGTGTCCGACCATATAAAGTATATACATATGTATAGACCAGGATCAATAGCCGAGTCGATTTGGCCATGTCCGTATGAACGCCTCGATCTCAGGTACTAGAAGCTACAATGTTGAGACTAAGCACGCAGCTTAGTTTGTTTACAAATGTTGCCACGCCCACAAACCACACACAACTGTCACGCTCACACTTTATAATTTAATATATTTTGTAAATTTTTATAGATTTGCCAAAAAACTTTTTGCTACGCCCACTCCTACGCTCACAACCCGCTTAAAACTGTCACGCCCACAATTTCAAAAAATGTGATATTTTTATTTCATTTTTGAATATATTTTATACATTTTTACAGATTTGCCAAAAAACTTTTTGGCACGCCGACAAACCGCCCAACCGCTATTTTTATAATAGGATGACAATGTTTAGGGGCAATCAAGGTGCGACAATCAACCCACACCTAGCAACGAGCGCAGCCGAGAAATTAAAGCGTGCGTTGCAGCCCACTAACGTTGTTCGTTAGAATCTTCCACTTAAATTAGCTGAGTATCACTGAGTATGAACTTATAGTCATGGTAGCGACTTGCTAGTCTCTTGCTTATAATATTTTTATCCACCCCGGCGCTTAGAACTTTAATACATTTTTGTATTAAGAAACTACATTTTTAACTAGGACGTAACGATATTGTCGAGTTTCTCGACTGTCAGATACATTTTACTAAGCTAAATCTAGTGTGTGGGAGAATGTGTAGTTTTCACAGTTTTCGAGTTCTCAATGGATCTTCTTGTACGGACCTCGGATCGACGAGTGAAGCTTATAAAAATATTGTAACACTTCAATATTTCCATAAAATCTGAGCCTTTGTAAAAGCGGAAACTTTTACATGGGTATAAACAAAAAATTTATAGGTTTCTTTTATCATATTTGTCATAGTTGTTACAAATATAGGAATTACCTGTTCATTTTAATAAAAACCATACACATACCTCAAAAACAATTCAAAATTCATAAAAAAATTCCTTTAAATAACTTCCAACGCAGATAAAGAATTCAATAATTTGTAAATACACCTTATTTGGATAACCTGTAACCCAATTAAAAAAGAATGTTTTCCACATCAATAAATGTTGTTATAATGTAAAATTAGTGTAATAAAAGTTTTACATTTATTTTTATGTCAAGTAGATCCCGCGTGCTACATTTTTGTCTTTATGTTTCGTAAGTTATACAGAATTCTGTTCGAGAATTAGAAGTTTCAACTACTTGAATGGCTAATGTGTTTTAGATCTTATTTGTTGAGGATGCCAATAGCAACTCAAGTAGCGAAGGCCTCGTTATTTTCGATCGGTACCTGTGAGTTCATTGTCATTTGTAAAAAATTAAGGGTTTCAATTACAATAAATTTGTTCTTACATATTATGTTTTGATTAATAGTAT